GGTGGATCCTAATGGCCCGACACAAGACGGTTAGTGTGGAGTCAATGTTGTGCCCGAGTGCAGATATTGACGACATCGACTCGCCGCGGCCTGCGAGCCCGGCCTACTTCTCTTGGGTGGCTTTCGATATATGGCACCCAGCTCGGAAGGCGAGATTACAAAAACAAAACGCGCCTGACACGGGGCTGAGATCGATATGCGCGTTATATGGCACCCAGCTCGGAAGGCGAGATTACAAAACAAAACGCGCCTGACACGGCTGAGATCGATATGCGCGACGCGGACTCACGGTGCATTTTGTACACGTCTATACATCTTTATGTTTGGAGCTTTGTATTTTTTTGCTTTCGCCGCCCAAAACGCACACCGGATGTATGCGGAGCAGTGCGCTTTTCGTCCTGACCACGGCGACCCCGCGTCTTTCTTGGTGCAGCCAAGGCATTGAGGGGGTCCGTTTTGGTGGCCTCGGTATTTCATCGTTGCTCTTGCATCACGCCCTGCAGTGTCTAAATGTGGCTAAAGGTGGAGCCACACACACATGATAGATTGGAGCTAATTACGCTCAAGTGTGGCTACGAGATTTGGACGCGGTTTAGCCACATTGGCGAAGCGCTTTGTCCACCCAACGGCAACCCCGTACACGGTATCTTGGCGTATTTTGTGTGGAGGTAAAGCAAAGGCGGAGAACCTTGTCGGGTAGCGGTGCATCTGTCACAAGCTGTTAAGTGCTCTTATACTTTATTACCTTCATACTTGGAGCCCAAGGCCTTCAGCTCCTCTAGAATTATTGCACCGCATCCAGACCGCCTGTTCTCAAAGGGGCCCGATTCGCACTCTGGGAGTCGCAGCATTATTGTGCACCCGCCCGCGGTTTCAACACATCAAGGCTTGAGATTTTTCTTGAACCTTTGCCCTCTCCCATTAGTGCCCGTGACAGGACCGGGGGCCTTTCGTCACCTGCTCTTTTCTGCTTGAGTGAGACTAAAAGGCTACATGGGAGGACCTGCTCTCAAAGATGCTCTTCAAAGGTCTCTTGGAGGATCGCGGCGTGGGGGGGTTGGACCAAGTCGGGTCCTCAAGAGCCCCGAGTGTGATGAATATGTAACGAACACAGAAATCGGGAAAGGGGGGCAAAGACTTTTTTTATGCGAACCATCGACGCTTTTTACTTTTGCTAATTCTCTGATATTTAAGTTATTACTTCGGGTCATGACTAACGGGGCCCATATTCAGTCTTTCGGAAACATGTCCAGAACAGCGCGGCGGTCATATAAACATCCGTGGCTTCCGTTTTGTAACACGGGACGATGCTTTTAACGCTTACTCGTACGGTGGCGGCTTTGCTGATTGCTTTGGCTCCATGTCTGCATTGAAGTGGGCACAGGGGAGAGAAGAGGAGGAAGGCCGAGCGCCCTCCCACAAGCCCCCCGACGCCCACACACACACAAAACACACAGACATATCTGAAACACCTGCCTGGAAACCGATGACAAGGAAAGGAAAGGTTAGATGAGGGGATATTTCGTGGCTCTCCTCGACTTGATGCCTGTTGTGTGCTACGGGTTGCAAGTGTCTCTCGGCATTTGCATCTACACAGACCTCATTTTAGAACGTAGGCCGGACGTGCTTCGCGTGCAAGATAAGGGTGAGAAAATTGACTGCTCGGTGCGTGTCGTTTCAACGCTGATAATTTGCTGTAACGTCAGTGATAATTTAGATGAGCGTGTTTGGCTCCGACTGTATGATAGCATTTGGGGAGCGGACGGTGGTTGTTTAATCAATTGTTTTCCATGCTAGTTTTGTAGGAAACTCCGTCTGGGAGTGTCAAATAACTTGAATTAGGAACTCCACGACCACAACCAACGACAAATGACCAATGTGCATCCGCATTTGAACTCGTGCTTTCTCGGCACTGGACAGTTGCGATAAGTGTCGATTGGATTTTGACAGCGCACGTTATAGGGACGAATGGAAAAAATAAAAAGTCTAAGTCAATTCCCCTTTGCCCTCCTCGTCCACAGCATTCTCACTTCACCGTTTCCACTCGTCTGCTCCATCGTTACGATCCGTTTCTACAATCCCTTCTCCAGTTGACACAATCCAACGATTAAATCGTCTTTTCCTTTCAACCCGGAGTCAATTATCTTTCCGCATCTGGTATTATTTCTGTCCGCAAACCATCTTGTCCTAGGTTCTAATCTCGGCAAAATCAGCAGCTTATCTCGAGCCTGGCTATATCAGACGTGAAATAACGCCGCCCAAATTCCTGCTTGCTAACACCGACCAATCGCCAGAGAGCTTTGCCGAGCGATTGTCGGAGGTTGGACATGTTGGAGATATTGGCTGCAGGTTCACCCCGTGTACTGCATGAGGGCCAATTATGTGACGCCTTCCACACTGTCCTTCACTCTTCAAACCTCCTAAGTAAGAGGCAGCACATCACTGCTACTCTGGCGTCCCTTCACTGGCTGCCTGTACATTTCAGAGGTCTTTTTAAGATTTTATTATTTGTTTTCAAATCTTGAAATGGCCTCGCACCACCTCGGAGGTCCTCTGCACCTGCCCGGTGCCTCAGGTCCGAGGACCAGACACTATTTGAGGTAGTGAGACCTAAGCGGAGGCTTAGGCTACTGTCTTCGTTATTAATTTATTGTTTGAATGTTGTAGGAATTATTTTTTACTCCATGTACAGCACTTTTTTGTATGCGGCGGTGGCCGTTTTAAATACAGTTGAGTTGAATCTTGCTTGGTGTTGATGCATCCGGCCCAAAATAGCTCTGACAGAATCATGCTGCTCTGTCACGCTGAATGGATGATGGATGAATGGGTCCATTGTTTGGAATAACACTGACAAGTAATTGATATGACACACACTTTCCTCCCATTTTTCATCAAGTGCGTAAAACTTTCCACATGCAAACAAATGACTCACTCAAATCTCTCAGTCTCGGTTCACTGATTTGATACCGTGTGTGGTGAGCAGGTCACCTCGAATGAAATGATCCGTGCGTCTGGCACTTGTTTAAAGACCTTGATTGTTGCACAGGTGTGCCTCGGACCGGTCACAATAAAATACCGGTAAAAAAAATGCAGCTCTTTCATGCAAAAAAAAAAAAAAAAAAGGGCCTCAGATGTTACATATTTTGAGGGGGTGGAAAATTGGAATTCTACTGGCAAGAATGTCCATCTGTGCAGAAATGTGCAAAATAGATCTTGTCTTTTGGCTAATTTCAAAATGATTTTACCATTTCATTCATTGTGTACAGATGCTAGGATTTTTCCTCAACTTGGTCGGGCTGAGCCATTGAATTGTATGAATAGGATGAAGTGTGTGTTTTGTAAAATTTGAAGGTCTGGGTGTTTACCAATGCTTTTTTTTTTTTTTTTTATAATAGTCCAGTGATTTTTTTTTTCCAAGCGTTTTGGAAAAGAGCTTTTCTAATGGCGCTTTCACCACCATGAGCCACCTCCTCGTTTATGTCTCTGAGAATATGGCCAGTCAAAGAGGATTCACATCCGCAGAGCACACGTTGTCGTGCCAGCCCAGGGCTGAAGGTTGTGCTTCGACGCTTCGCACACCCGATCTGTGTCTGTGGTGTCACAGCTTAGCTTGCTTCGATGGCGGATTTTTACAAATGCTCGAAAACTTGTCGGTCACATAAGGCCGAAATTGTAACCTGACTGCAAGCGATTATTTTCAGAAGCCAACCAGCTGATTCCAAAGCTGTTATTTCTACATCGAGTTGCTTTGCACTGCATCGTGCCCAGAAATGCTCTTGAGCTGAAACCTTTTTCCCCTCTTTATCTACTCCTTTTACAGCGATCAAAACATCAAACCACCACTCAGTCTTGTCCGCCCTCAGCAGTGATTAAACGCCTAAGAGACTAAAATAGTTTCTCTCTGCCTACCTGAATTGAGGAAAAAAAAACTTTAGCGACAGCGGTCTTCGATGCTAAAATACTGAAGTGGGAAGGGACACACGCAGACAGGAACGGAGAAACATCAAGTGTGAACGGTTGTATATGTGTCCGCCATGTGGATGGTTCCAGTGCAGGAAGTACCCCGCCTCTTGCCTGAGGTCTGCCGGGATAGGCGACAGTTGAACCATGACCTGAATGGCGACGAGCGCTAGAGAAATTGCGATGGATGGAAAATCAAAGCCAACAAGTGGCCCGAGTCGCACGCAGAATCCATATTATGAGACTATTTACCACGGCTTTAAATGGATGTAAAACAGTACTGTATTCGGGAAATCAATGAACGACAAATGGTGACAGAGGAAGAACGTAGGCCCATGGATGAGGCCAAAACACAAGAGACATGTTGAGTAACTCCGCACACCTAAAGGCAAGTTATTGACATTGGCGCCTTCTAAATCAATCAGCAGTGTACACAAATCAGCCACACTCTTGCATCACCTCATTTGCTAATGGGCCGGCTGTCTTTGCGCTCATGGACAAATAGGCAAGTGGCTCGGGCCTAAGTGGTCCAAGACTTTAGTTTTATGGGCTTTGCAAAGAGAGCCACGCTCTCAGTTACGGACAGTGGAGTCATCCACTCCGATGACTTCAGTGCAAGCAACATGGGTTCGCTTGTCACTCTGCGACGGTGTGAATGTGAATGGCTTGTCTGCATGTACCCTGCGATTGATTGGCAAGCGGTGGAGAATGCCTTTCACTCAAAGTCAGCAAGCGGTACACAAAATGGATGGATGGCTGGTCACAAACTCTCTTCCCTCCATGCAAACATTCAAGCAAACATGAGTTTTTTTTGGGGGGTTTTTGGTCAAAACCGTTTGCATTTAACTTGTGTGGTTGCACGATGTCTCCGTCAAACAACTCATCACCCACCCCAGCCGAGTAATTACCTTCAAACAAATTAGTTTTGTTGGGCCAGTTATTCAACATTATCGACTCATTTGAACCCCGTTAGCGAGAATGTCAGTTTAAAAGTGATGCCGTTGTGATTAGTTTCAAGAAGAAAAAAAAAAAGCAATTACCTTCACTGCTTCAGCGTGGGTGACTTTGTCAAAGACTTTATCGTTGACTTTCATGATCTGGTCCCCGATCCGGAGACCCTCCTTCTCCGCCAGGCTCCCCGGTTCCACCAGGGAGACGTAGATCCCCACTCCGTGCTCCGACCCACCTCGGATACTGAAACCAAGGCCCTCGTTGCTCTTGTGTCGCTTCATGGTGACCTGCCGCAGCTCGCCCGGCGGCTCGTGAATAAAGTTCCTGCCGAGCAGCGGCACCAGGGGAGCTGTCCCGTCACTGCTGGAGCTGAAGCTATCCGGGGAGCCGCGCAACGCCACCTGGAACTCGGCCGGGTTGTCCTGGGGGTAGTGAGCCGGGGGAGTCGGGCTGGCGCCGGGGTAGTGGCCCGGCGGGGGTTCGGCGGTACCGTTGCTCGCGACTAAATCCGATTTCAGGTAGAGGCCCTCCGAGGTGTACTGCTCGAAGAGCAGCTGGTCAGACCGGGGGATGACAAGCCGCAGCATGGGGAGAAGCTGTCGCTTGCCGGGCGCGTTGAGGATGACGTTAAGGGTCTGCACCAAGTCGTAGACGTTGCGCTTGGAGTGGTACACATTGAGGCAGTGGATGAACTGCTCCCTCTCGAAGTCGTTCAGTAGCAGGTTGAGCGCGTTGTGCAGCTTCTTCACGTTGGCCGAGAGCGTTCGAGCACTCGAGGCCACCGAGTTGGCCGAGGAGCTGAGCGACACGCGCTCCAGGTCGGTGGTGCTCATCCCGGCCGCGACGCCGCACCGGGTGCACGTTAAAGCGCGGGCGTCGCGGGCTCCTGTCTCGGGATTACACCGGCGCTCGGCATGGTGGGCGCAAGGAGGACGTAGCGCGGAGACGGGGACGTCTTCAGCGGGTGTTCCTCGACCGAGGGCAGCCTGCGGCGATTCAAGCGCACTTCACGAGCTGGCCGAACGAACCACAGCGTCGCGCAAAGTTCGCCTCCTCGCTGTGGTAGCTCGTTGTCATTAGCCGCCGTCTTGTTTTCCGGAGGGTCAGGTGGCCAGCGAGGAGCCGCTTCTCTGGTGTCCGCCTCCTCGTCAGCAACAGCTGCTTCCAAGCGGAACGAACGCTGAAAGCCACGTAACTAACCCCCGACCAACTTGACTGGGGAATCGGGCTGCTTTTTTTTTTTCTCCGACGAGCACCCCAAAAAAAAAAAATAAAGTTCCAGCTTTTGCGCGTCGCTCCTTTTGTGGCTATTAATTCCGATCAATGTCAAGGTGGTAAGAAATACCCATCCGGCATGACTTCAGTTGCCAAAACGAAGCGTGTGGGCAAGTAGCGTTCCAATTAATCTTTGGAAGGGAGGCGCAGCTCGTTGCCTCCGCTTCCCACGCGTTACTACAGCGACCGAGCGTGGAGTGTGTTGTCGGTGACGGTGAATAGCTGCCCGCTACCAAGACTGACGCTCCTGTGAGGAAGTGACGTCGTGTTTGGCTTTATTGGATTATTTATAGCCCGCGGCGCACGCGCACGGGCACGCGTGACGGCAGCGAGATAAGCTAAAAAGCGCTTCTCAATTAGGAGAACCGGGTCTAATATTAGCTCCCGTCTGAGCCTCGTCATTGGGCGTTGCGACATCATTTGTGGACGTGTGCTGACTGCATTGATTGGACCCTTTCGCTATACGGGATGAATAATGGCTCACTTTTGGCAAATGATGACAACACGAGACAAAAGAACGCAAAGTTCAAGCATCCGTGTTACAAAGTAATTGTTTTTTTATTGATTAAAAAAAGTAAAGTTTTGGATCTGGGTGAAATATTGCTCCCTTTTTAGCTTCAAGGCAGAGGCAGCAAATCAAATCAAATAAATCATGACTCTAGAACAGGGATGGCAGCAATTCGGTGCACGCTTCCTAACCACACACTTTCTAAGTAGATGTATGATAAAAATGCTAGTTTAAATATGGACATAATACATGCAAAATATGCTCCGAATAAATGTTATTAATGATCATACATTTTCTAATGCATGAATAAAAGAGCGACAGGATTTGTACTTCCCCGCAGTCCTTTTCGGTTGTTTCATGAGTGCAACCGATTCCGGCGATGACATGTAACAGTGGCTGAAGAAATGTCACCGGAAGTGGGGGAAAGCTGTTGGAATGTGCGACGGTTTTGGTGCACAATGGCTGATAGCACCCACTTGAGGGAAGGAAGGAGAAAATGTTTTCCACGGTACGACGAGTCCAAGAGAAGTGGCTGCCCTTTTCTCCTGACGACAGGCAAGTCCTCAAGAGTGGAGCGGGTCCCGGTGATCAAGACTGAAATGGAAATGCCGCCCCATCATTAAAAATTCAATTCAGTTGTCACAAACCATAGCCAGGAAGATCCATAGAAACATAGGCGCCAAAATCACTTTATAGGGGGTGTTTTTTTTTTTTTTTACCCCTCTGCCCTCCACAAGTGTCACTTTTTTGTGTGTGTCTAATCAAGAGCACTCAAGTCATTACTTAGACGAGTGACAGCTTCTATCCGAGGCTTATGATAGCACTTGATAGATACCCCATTACATTATACGAGGCGGGCCGGGTGTAATTCTATTCCCAGGAGACAGCTTTACGAAGACTACAGATGCTGCTGCTGCTACAGTACGGCACATTCCACTAACAATGTGTTTGAGATCTGTGCCATTTTTTTATACAAACCGTAGCAGAGTACAGCAGTTTCATGAGCAGTAAATATGGTTTCGTGATTGATAACCCCAGCACCTGAACTCATCATCGCGTTGCAGCTTTGGGCCAAAGCTCAATAAATAATCTCTCAAGGACCAAAAAGGTAACTCAAACTGGTCAAAAGGCAGATCATGTAAACGGGTTAGAAACCGGGAAAAAAAATATAACCGGATCAGATGAAATTCTAATTGATAACATTGAATTGATTTTAGGTTCCAAATTGTGTGACAATGCTTTTTGTCAGTCGAAACACCAACGGGTTTAAAGAGCTGACAGTTTAGGGCCTGGTGACACGTCATAAAAATGCTACTGTAGCAAAACATATCAATCAAGAAAAGTCAAACAAAAAGTAAAAACATCCATAAATTGTTTTATAGATAAATCGTGACATAAAACGGCATTTGTCCCCCACTCAATCTTACACATGTCAGTGGAGACATTTTGGCCCAGTCTTCTTTGCAGTATTGCTTTTCTTCAGCAACACTGGAGGGTTTTCAAGCATGAACAGCCTTTTGAAATCGGATTCGAGTCCGGACCTTAACTAGGGCCATTTCAAAACCTACTTTTCGTTTTTTAAGCCATTCAAACATCAACTTCCTGATGAGTAGTAGAATTTGGGAATCCATCAATCACAGCAAATAAGTCATCCAGGTCCTGAATGAGCAAAGCAGCACCAGACCGTCAAACGACCAGAGTCACATTTGACTGTGAGTATGACGTTCTTTTGCGGAAATGCTTTTTTTTGGGGGGAGGGGGGATACTGTATGTGAATGAATCAACAAGAGGAGTATGCAGCGTCGAAAGAAGGAGCACATAAGGTGAAAGCCGAGCTGAGTGGAATCACATGATTGCGGTCTACTGCCAAAGTGATGCAAGTGACGCAGCAGAATTGGAAGCAATGCAAGGCAGCCTCCCAGTCCGCCGAGATAAAGCCAAGTGCATTTTGCACAGGAAGCGGTGCCCCGTACACACTTTCAAAGACGGCTTATCAGTTAATGTAATCGTGTTTGTCCCCGTTTTGTCTTCTCTTTTCAAAGAAATGCGTGCTCTTTTGCTCTTGTTTTGTTTTTATGGTGGCTAATAAAAAAGTACAGATGGCAAGTTTGCCGCTACAGAGAAAAGTGATGCTTTTGTGCCAAATGAAATGAATCTCCCTAAAATGGCTTTCATGTTGTCATCACTGAAGAAGACTGATGACAGTTGTGTGTTGAGCGGGAGAAAAGTACTGTTTTTCCAAACGTGAGAGGCGGTTTGATGTCGCTCGTTGTGTCAACCGCATGTCATGATCAATGCTGTTTTGTGCGTGGTGGTCGGCGTCGTTATCGCGTCCTGTGACGCCATCACGAATGCAAACGTAGTCGCCGCATATTGCTACCGGCTCAATTGTCGAGCTAATATTGGTATGATTCTGTTCAGTTTGTGACCAACAGGTGGCATCGGAGGGCTTCTCCTCCAACGTCGCACCCGTTGGTCATCGTGTCATGACCTCTGTTTTGATAAAAGGAGTGCCACGCCGGAGATTATTTTCTAGGAAGGTCGTTGAAGAAGTCATTTGAAAATGTAAATTAAAACAAATAAAGCCAATTATGTTCTGTACTGGACCTGTTCAATATTTCCGAGTCATTTCGGTTCAAGTAAATTGTTTTGCAAATGAGGATCCCCACTTCCAACTTCAAACATTTCACGTCAAGCTGTAATCATTCGGAACGCCTTACAGGGCTTACAGCATTCACCTAATAGGCTTAACTGTCTCGGACTCGATGCTGAACCGAGTCATCCGTATTCCACAAACGGAAGCCAAACAGTCCATAAACGCGTGAGTTGTTCAGGTTGCGTCTACGACTCATCCGTAAAATATCTTTGCATCCACAACAGGTTGAATGCGTTCAAACGGATTCTCAAGTGAGAAGCCCAGAGATGAGGCTCGGGCTGCTTCTCCGCTGACCACAACGGAGTCTTTCACGTCATGCTACCGAGCCTGGAGATTTGCTTCATTATTCAACAAGCGCGTAACAACCTTCTGGTGTTTGTACCTATTCGAAATTGCCCCACCGTGTGTGTGCGCGCGGCCATGCGTTCTTACTGGCAATCACACAGCACAGCTACAGATGGACAGTCACAACACATTTTATTTTCCTATGCACGCACACACACACACACACACACACACACACACACACACACACACACACACACACACACACACACACACAGCCGCTATCTTTGCAACCAGCTGCAGGCTGTCTCGGGATAGACTCAACATCAATCATGTATCACTCTGGTGTTTAATGTGTGTTAAAAGTACATTTTTACATCACTGCCCCCCCCCGCCCCCCAGCTCTGCAACACGAGCTGCACTCTACACTGCCGTCGTTTTTGCTGAGAAATGGACCGCTCGTCCATTTTGTGACGTTCAAAATCCTCCCTTGCAGTTTTGCACCTTTCACGGGGAGTTTCGGATCCCCCGTTAACCGCAAAAAAATTAGATTAGTGGATTAGCGGATGTGATATTGTGGGCTTCACGGGATACGAATGAAACAAAAGGAAACTATTCCACTTCCCAATTCCAACACGGTTTTTAAATAGATTCAGAGGAGTATCAATTCATCCTCTTCAAATGAGATGCACCTTTTTTGTAGCTAACGTTATTCATGAGGTGCTGGAATTCTTTTCAACGTGTTTGCGTTCAACTAGTCAAATACAAGCAGACAAATCAATGTTTTGTATTTATTCCCAACATTTACGACAACTTCTACTTTCAAATTAGGAACTGATGTTTGTTTTCCAACCTAATTGAACATTTTTGACCTCCGACATGTTTTCAAACGATCCGTATTGTTGAGGTGTTGGATGTTTGTTTGAATTGTTGTTTGTCTAAAACAAGAGCTGCAACCATGGATGGATATTGACTTTTCTGCATTGACCAGGGGGAGATCAATAAACAGGTCACTTCTTTTATGAGAAGCGCCACGTTTTGAGTGATCATAGAGGCTGGTAGACTTCTCATCTGTCGCCACTAAATCCTTAATTCCCCATCTTTTCCTTTAATCCCTCGCAGGGGAGACAACAGGGCCACAGTTGGCATTTTGCTGACTGATAATATCTCGCAGCACAGTCTGGTGCATGCCAACCTCTCCGCCGCATCTTTGATCGATTCGGCACTAAGCGGTCACGCCGTCGCTTTGCCACGCGCTCGTCTCAACTGGCCCGTGACACCAAAAAGGTTGGCGCCCACCGCTATACTCCCATCGCCGCATGCTGCATTCCAGCGAATGGGCATATTATTCACAGTACTGTTTTGCTCCAGTTTGTTGGCCAAAGCATAGAGACAGCTGGAGGCTTCTCCAAGAAAATCCCTCTCATCACCTCCTGGGAAACAATTAGTTTGAGAAAACTTTTTTTTTTTTTTTGTTTCCATCTGTGGAAGAGGTGCAGCTTGAAGCCTCAGGCAAAATCGAGCAGCCTATGCACAGACCATCATCGCGCTTCCAGCAGAGTATCTCACGAGTCATCGATAGCATAAACCTGAGAAAAGTGCCAAGCTAATTATGCGCAGACCATGTGAAAGTGTTGGCTGATATTTGAAAGCTGCTGTGGAAAGAGCGTGAATCCCACACTGCCAAGTTGATGAGATCAGTGCTGAAGAGTGGGTATTTAGTGTCACGGTTCTTTCATTTATATCCAACTGGGAGCATAAAAACTCTTATTCATTCAAAAAAATAATCAACAGCATAAACTAGGACAAAAGGGCAAAAGCATGACCCGTGTAAATGTGCCGTTCTGGCCCGAAATTGTACTCAATATAAGGGAAGGCGTATGTCATCATTTCCCATCAAAATGTGAATTGCTTGTTGCAGACTTAATTGGGTGCAATGGCAAAATGACACTCTTCGATGAATTAACGTAATGAAGGATTAAACGGCTAATTTAGTTTCTATCCCTGTGCCATTATGATGTGCTGATGGCGACACAATTGACTTTTTAAACACTTCCAATAAAGAACATCATGGAGAGCTTGAAGAAAATCATTCTCTGCAGTCCTTTTCATGACAACCGAGAGCCGTATTGTGTTTGTCGAGGCGGATTTATTATTTATTTTCCCCCCCTGGGCTGCCGTGCACAAAGATCGATCACCAACCGAGGAGACTTTAATGTATTGGGCATTTTACCATTTATAAATGTCATACAAATAAGTTAAGTGTAAGAACAGGACTAAATGTGTGTATGTGTGTGTGGGCATATACAGGTACATATACATATACATACATACACACACACACACACACACACACACACAAGTTGGGGAACACTGCATTAAAATATGTATGTTTCATTATAATAATAATATAGCACAGCATCCATCAGCGTGAGCAATATTAAGTCACATATTTAAATGTTGACATTCAACTTGAGATCTTTTTTTTTTTTAGATACATCACCAGACAACGGGTACATCCAGTTTTGATTGCAGTCATTTTAGCGTGACGAGCTACGGGCAGATATGCGAGCTCTGATTAAACCGATGATGTGACACTCATCCAATTCATGACGTCGATTAGAATAGCGCACCAAACGACTAATTTTGTTTTGGAACCTGGGTGTCATCGTGACGGTTCCTGACGAGGGGAACACGGTGTAAACAGCACACGTAAGCATCAACATCCACGATCTGTTGTGTCTGAAAGTCACATTGACAATTTCGGACCGAGATGGAGCGGGTCAAGAGGGATTCTCAAGGTGAAGTCAGAAACTTAATAGCTCGGCACTAAGAGATCCTCAAAAGTGTTCTCCTTTGATAGAATTTCTTCTGCTCTCCCGATTGTCCATTAGAGATAATTAAATAAGAGTGTGCCAATGTGAAATGAGTCATTGTAGAAGTGAGATTTATGTATCATTTTTAATTAGGCTATTGACAATTTTCCCACAAAGTCAGTCCAAAGGAAAAAAACATTGAGCAATTTTTAAACAGACATTAGTTCGAGGTAAAATAGAAGGCATCATAAATGGAATGGAAAAAAAAAAAAATCAGGGTGCAAATATGGCAGCGATTCTTGTGTTCAAAGCCAAATGGCTTAAAATGAATCGTGGAGCTGGAAATACAGGTCCAAAAATCCTTTCTGCAAAATATGAAGATCATCGTTTTCAATCACCTGCACGTCACAATCGAAATAAAACAACCAAACCAGGACTGACTGCAGCCATTTCATGAGCCTGCGGCATCGGAACACGACAACGTATATTCGATCAGGCACAGGAGAATGCGAGTGACTTTGGTGCACGTTCAGTCGTGTGGCTCAGTGCGTGGACCTCCGCTTGATCAGAACATCAGGAGATTGCACCTTTGACGCGTCCGAAGAAAAGCGGTTGAAACTCAGGGTACAAGACGACGGCACCACTCAAATCACTTCACATAAGTGGCAGTTTGGCTGAGAGGAACAATTCTTCTTCAAAAAAAGAGGCTTCAATCTGTTTATTGCCAGTCATGGTTGAAGTTCACTGTCAAACGTCATGAAGAAAATTACGTGTGTTTAAAACATCGCATCGGTCTGGATGTTTGAACACAAACGGTGCAGCAACACATGTACCGCGGCCATAACAATCACAGGCACGTATTCTTTATCCTCTGATGACAATGACAAATATTACTGCCTCACTGAGGCGCTGAGACCATTTCCATGTGCAGTAGATCTGTGTCTGTATTAGACTGCTCCCGGTGGCCAAGGCATACTCAACAGGAGGAGCTGCACACCAATTGAATTGAAACAGAACGTGGCAAAAACTGTTAAGATTCGATTAAATAATAAGGTCCTTATTGTATGCTTTTAGAAAGTGCATGACAGTGTCCGAGTGGTTGGGATGAATCGTGGCATTTCTATTCATTTCAATGGGGAAAGATGATTTGAGATGAGCATTAAGTTTAGAGCGAGGTCATGGAACACTTTGTATTCATATCTCAAGGCACCACTGCGGTAGCGACACAATAACATTCAAATTCAAATCATAACTTATCTTTTTTTTTTTTTTTGCGCGACAAGTTCATTATTCCTTCCGAAGGTCTTACAGCTGTTCTACAAAAAAATATTTATACAGTGTACAGATGCCTACGTTGAACCCAGAAGTTGGACCTGAATCTTAAATATTCATCTCAAGACATTTCGAATAATTTAATTGCCCAATTTTTGTGGGAGACCTTTAAAAAAAAAAAAAAACACTGACAAGAAGCAAATTAGGAGAGGGTGGGGGGTAAGGTCCTGATGAACATATGACAAATATACATCCAAAAATCCCATTGACACACTAAAACATAGGCTGCAAAAGAGCGACAAGTCCGTTTTCTTCCCTTCTCACGTCATCAAGGCGTAACGAAACAAGTGTCCAACGTTCTTTTTGTTCTGTGACAGTTCAACCTTGTTGCAGCTACTCGGCTCTCTGTTGCAGTTCTCGCTGAGTAAACGCATTGCGGGACTTCCCAACTCTTTGGCAAAAAACCTTGGTGACATTCCAATCCGACATGATGAACAAAGTGGCCTCCCAAATCTTTCTTTTGAAAGCCCGCATTGGTTTGGGACCCGAAAAGAGTGCAATCATTCACATTATTTTGTCTCATGTAAACGTCAGTTTGAACGATTAACATTCTGGTACTTGAACCTCCTTTTGTGCAATCAAACCTCAGAGGTGAAAACGAACGCAAGATTCTGATCGTGAAAAGTTGTGACGGAATAAATTTCTCCAAAAGGGCGAAGCAGTCATTTAAGGATCCAGACAGCAAACGGTAATTGACAGCCTTCATTTTACATACTCTTCACAACGCTCTGAATTTCAAGGATCCCAATCAAACTCATTATTCATACATACACAAAGTATCAACAGCCCGCAAGAGACAAAAGCGTTCCACGTATCATGACAAGCCCCAGGCCTACTTCCACCCCAACCCCTCTTTTTTTTTTTTATTAACAGGAGAGGCCAGCTCAGACCATTTCCTAGAGAAACTTGTAACTGAAGTCCCTCCACATAGAAAATGTAGCAAAGTACAAGTGGCCTGCACACACCTGGGGTCATTGGGCATCACGGCAGTCCGGCAACTCGGCGACGCACCCGACTGAGGAACGCCGACA